CAAGAATCGTGCTTGGCATTCTTTCAGCTGAGTGATAATATGCCGAGGGCTAAACCGATGCAAAAGCAAAGAGTCTTTTATTGAGAGTTAGCTCAGGCCTCTCTGTCTGACTGACGACGCAGCAGAGCAGGAGAGACCCTGAGTAGCAACAGGGCAGGGTTTTAATAGTAGGTAAAGCAAGGTTGGGGGAGTCTTGGGGTCTACAGATTACATAGGAACCGACTCAGGATTGGTTTACGTGAGTGACAATCATGTTAATAACTTTTAATTGGCTAGGGTTAGTTGGGGGTTTGTCAAGGCTACACTTAGCCATTTTGAGGCAGGCCTGGACAAGTCCCAGGCTTTGTCCTTGAGCTGCTGTGGAGGCCGGCTGGCCTAGCACTTATTGACTGTGGGGCTGACTCAGTGGCCAGGCTTGGTGTGTCTTATCTCCCTGTCCCTGCTGACAGGAGCATCAGTTATTAATTTTCTTTTGTTCATGGCCCTCCTAGAAACTGCTTGCTCAATCTAAGGACACTGAAATTGAGGCCTGATCTCTGAGAGAAGACTGAGCAGCCTGTTACGGCATCTGCTTGGTCTTCTCAGTATGAATGGAAACAATGGCTTTTCTTGGGTCTGAAGTCTGTAGCCTTTGGGTTGAAATTTACACTATTAGCCTTCCAACTTGCCAACCTCAGATCTTAGGACTTGGCCTCCATGATCTAATCTCCCTGCTCACACATACACACAATTGACTGTTTCTTCAGAGAACTCCAAATAACACAACATTTTACCCATTCTGAAACATACATTTACTGACAACACTATTTGTACACCAAACTTTTCACCTTGCAAAAATGAAATTCTATATCTGTGATGCTTTAAAGGAAAAATGTTTCCAATAGTCTTGGGCATTTGTACACTTGGTACCCAGTTGGTAACACGATTTGGTAAGGTTTAGGTGGTGCAGACTTGCTGCAGGAAGTAAATCACTGTGGGAGGGCTTTGAGATTAAAAGTCTGGTGACATTCCTGTTTTCTCTTTTGTGGTTTGTACTTATGGTTGAGATATAAGCATTCTGACCTGAGCTCCTGGGAACACATGGACTCTGGACCAACAGTTAGGGAGCTTGCATGGGACCGACCTAGGTCCTCTGCATGTGTGTGACAGTGTGTGGCTTGGTCTGTTTGTAAGCAGTGAGGTCAAGACCTATCCCTGGTGCTTGGCTGGCTTTTGGGAACCTGTTCCCCATGCTGAATTACCTTCCCCAGGGGGAGGAGCTTAGTCCCACCTCAACTTGATGTGCCATGCTATGTTCAAGCCCATAGGAGGCCTGCTCCTTTCTGAATGGAGATGGAGGAGGAGTGGATAGATGGGGAGGGGAGTAGATGGGAGTCAGTGTGTGTGTGTGTGTGTGTGTGTGTGTGTGTGTGTGTGCGTAGGGAACACGAGGAAAGGAGAGACAGAAAACTGGTTGATATGTAAAATAAAGGAAAAATATATTAATAAAATTTGTTTAAAAAAGATATAAATATTCAGCTTTCTGTTCCTGCCTCCGTAACTGCTGCCATGACTTCCTCCCATAATGGACTTTTGTCTTCCTGGAACCATAAATCAAAATATACTCTTTCTTCCATAAGTTGCCTTTGATAATGGTGTCTTATCACAGCCACAGAAAAGTAATTAACCCAATATCCTTAAACAATAACTCTCCTTCCCCTCGTCACTCAGCTGCTGGTCCTTATCATCTGCCTTCTGTCTCTAGACATTTAACTAATCAAGACACTTGTAATAAATGAGATGATATAATTTTTGCTCTGTTGTTGGCTTATTTTGATGAGCCTTTTGTCCTTCATATTGCTCCACATTGTAGCATCATTGTCAGGATGCCAACATTTTCTTCCTTTGTAGGTTAAGCAACATTCAAAACTGTAAATTGTATAATTTCTTTTTCCATTTATCCTTTAATAAACACTCAGTGCTTACATCTTTTGGTTATTGTGAATAAAGTTGTTGTTGTTGTGTGTATGTATTAAGATCTTTGGAAGTTCTTGCTTTTAATTATTTTAGAAATACAAACAGAAGTAACATTATGATATCATATGGTTAGGAGCTATGCCATTTTTCAGTACCTCCAACAGTAAACAAAAGTTCTAATTTGTCTACATCCTTGCCTATATATATTATTTTATTTCATTTTTCTTTAAAATGGATGCAAGGTAGTAGAATACTTAGCTTACAAATTTTCACAGGAACTTTATGACTAAGTTCTTCCTTCCACTTAAGTCCAATTACTTCATTTATCTGATTAAGTTGCCACAATGTATGTGATAAATTCCTTGAGTTAAGGCTTTACAGGGGTTAAAATTTATTACAAGGAGAAGCAAGTCCAACTCTCCAAGCAAGTGTCTTCTCTTCATGTGATCCTGCTGGAAGTCACACTCTGGACTCTGTTGGGTTCCAGTCTCAAGAAGCTGGCCACTTGCCACTGGCTGAGTGACTAGAGAACATGGACCATATGCCTTGTGCTGCTAGAGAGGACCCTAGAGGTAGCCAGAGGGGTGGGGTTCTCTGTGTTCACACACTGGAGGGAGACAGTCATCATGTGGTAGTGAAGCTGTGGCCTTGGAGGACTGTCAACGCCACCTGCCAGGCTACTGCTGTGGCCTCTCTTCACCAGAAGCGGGGCAGATAAGAGTGTCATCCTTGTGCCTGGATTTTCCTTGAACAACAGACACTGAGAAATTTTTGGACACTTCATTTATGATGTTAAGATGTAGCAAGAGGTGACAGTTGACTTAATTTGGAGCTTTCTCTTTCCACCTCCCCTGCTGAGCACATCTAGAGGATGGACTTCCTTCTCCTCAGCTTTGTTTATGTTTAAAAAATTCTCAATACTTTTTTCCTTCTATGGACAAACTCTGTTTTTCTGGCTGGTCTTTGAAATCTATATTTAATTATGATATAGACTACTATTATGTTTTTTTCATTATTTTCAAACATTGTTTTGTACCCAAACCTTTTATAAATACATTCTTTGTCTGAAAACAAGGTCTATTTTTTTCATTCTCCAAGTTATGACAACTCAAGGTATCTGTAATCAAGTACAGTTTTAAATATGAATTTAAATGCTGTAAATACTATAAAGGTGATAGTTATTAGGAAAAACTGCGGTACCCAAATAATGTTTGAGGTAATTTGCGCCATTCTTCCTTCCTAGGGTGATGATAATGTTAAAGCTAAAATTCCAAATTATTCATGCTGAGTCAGTTGAAGAAAAGGGAAAAGAAAATGGCCGTTTCTGGCTCCCTAAGGTGCACATGCAAGGATTCTGAGGGCAGGAGATTCGTTGAGAGGGTCAGGACTTCCGGAGGTGGAGCATGACAGAGAGTGGGGAGATGAGGGGACAGCAATGGGTCCTGGGGAAAGCGGAGGAAGGAACAGGCCACAATTAAGATTATAGATTGCTCTAAAGACAGAGGTTCATCTCCGGTTTGGCAGCTCCCAGAGGGCAAACTGTGGTAGCACTATTGAAGAACAAGTGGAGTGGCCAGGCAGCAAACTGCTGACATCAACAGCAGCTCAAGCCACTTTAGGACATCACCAGGACAGCACCCTAGGCACGGCCATGTCCTTGGCAGAGAGGCAGAGCACAGGGAGTTGACCTTCTTGGTTTACGCCTGTGGGGTGTGAACTTACTCCATTTGATAGCCAAGGCCCAAGCCCTTTACCATAACCTTGTCTTTGCTCTCAGCTTTTTCAAACCCTGAGGCAGAAGTGTGTCTTATTGCCCAAATTGCTCTTTGTTTTATCTACACGGTATTTTTTTTTTTTTTTTGTCCTCATATAATGTTGTTAGGGGAGGGAGCCACAGGAGGGCCTTACCTATCCCCAGGTGCACCAAGCTGAGTTTTTAAGGATACCCAGGCTTCACTTTAACTTGTCATCACAGGCAAGATGTAGGCTCATTGCCTTCACCTTCACCTTTATTGCCTTGCCGTACCTTTCATAGCCCCCACACATACCTGATTGAACATACATTGTTCAACAGGCTGAACTTGAAAGATCACATGTCTTCAACCTCAACCATTTTAAAACATCTTAATTGGTAAAGTCACATGCATGTCATTTAACTTCATGACTTGTTATTTCTGTTTTGCGACGATATATGTCTTTTTATTGGTGCCACCCTCTGGCAAAGAGAAATCATTGAGGATGTTTAAGCAAAGAGCCCAGTCAGGCAAGGGTTATTCAGTGTGTTGTTTGGCTGCATTGAGGGGAAGGTCTGGGCTTAGGGAAGTGATGGGAGAAGGCCATCTAGGGTGCTAAGGTGGTGGTGACAATAACTCTAAGACGGTCAGGAAGAGATCAAGGAGGCAGATCCAGTAAATCCTGTCAAAGGAAAAGGAAAGAACCAACAAAGGCAAACTTTTTACAAATACATTTCCTGGGACGATCTCTAAGATTAACAGAACTGAAATTTAAAAAGTTTTCATAATTAATTACAAAATATGAAAGAGTGTCTAGCAGAAATCAAGCAAGGAAGTACCATTAAAACTGTGATGCATTATCTGTGGAGGCCCACCAAGGTTTTCTGGTGAGATCTGAGCTTGCTTCATGAAGCAGGGCTACATTAGGGGATGGCTTGACCACACGCATGGTCACCAGGTGTTTGGGATTATTCTGCACTTGGCTGTGCTGGGGGGAGGTCTTTTTCTCCACCCCTTGGCATTCTTTTAAAAGCCCTTTAGTAGAGACAGAAGGGGCTGGTGGGTTTTGACCCAGGCCCTCCCGAGGCTATCCTGTGTTTCTTTCTGTCTGTCTCTCTCCTCCATATTTCTATCTAAATCTTTTATCCCTCACTCCTCAAGAGTACTTGGGGTAAATAACTGTGGGAGCTGCCCCCCGACAGTTATCAAATGACCTCAGTGTTATTTGTCCTTTCTTCGTCTTCCCAATTAGAGCCTCCGCTCTGATTTTCCCCTTTCATATCACCTATATTCTGTTATTCCCCCTCAACCCCTGACTCCCCTACACACACACACACACACACACACACACACACACACACACACACACACGGAGTTCCTTTATACTTTCCTGGTTTCTGTGGTTACTCATATACTCACATCTGAAGATTTGGAGCTAGGAACTGCAGATGAGAGAGATGGGATTATTCCTTATCTAAATTCTAACTCTTATCCTTATACCCACAGCTAAGTGTAGCTATTATTCCTCATCAAAGAAGCTTCTCTCTGCAGCAAGCTGAGACCATGACAGAAAAATCACAACTGAATATAAGGCAAATATCAATGGATTGTGGGGAGCACAGCCCCAATGGATACATCTCCATCACAGCTCCTACATCTATGGCTCGGGGAACATAGAAGAAGAGGGGCAGAAGGATTGTAAGAGCGTGAACAGCAAGAAATCTGCTTGAAGTAGTGTATCCAAGGAATGGCTGCAAAACCAAGACTGGAACAGAGGTAATATCAATGCACAAGTTAATGGAGAAAGGGGGAAAATTTCATGGGGTCCGTCTCCTAGTCAAAGAACCACAGGCAGCTAATGACTGCTGTGAAAAGGAGAATTAGCCCATTTCAGGGATGAGCCCCATTATTGATTGTCCAATGCAGAATAGTCAGCCTTGAAAACACAAACATGCACACAAACAAAAACAGACTGCAGGTTGTGTGCGTGTGTGTGTATTTGTGCATGCACATACATACACACATCTTTAACAATAACAATCGAAGAAAAAGAGGCTATCAACCTGACAGTGGGGGCATGAAATGGCTGGAGGGAGGAGGAGAGGAAATTGATATAATTCTATTCAACTAAAATGAATAAAAATATAACTATATTACTTCCCCCTCTCTTTCTTCTTCCAATGCCCTCATCACTCTCAATTTGATAGCTTTTTTATTTGATTATTATTGTTGCGTTATATGCATAAATATAGCCTGCTAAATCTATTTTTCTTGTTTGGTTTCAGAGCTGTGTATGTATGGTTTCAGAGCTGACCTCCCCCTATTGGATAACCAAGGAGGCGACTCATCCCTGGGCGAGGCTAATTCTCTCTCAGCATTCACTAGTTGCCTATAGCTCTTTGTCTGTGTGTGGGATCCTATGAGACTTTCTTCCTTCCATGTTAGTATGTCTATTGATAGTTCCATTGTTCACGTTCTTGTCTATGAAGGCATTTCGAAAAGAGGTGGTCACACACATGGATCACTTTGAGAAGGGGAAACAGATGAAATCTCCATGAGTAAACTGGGGATGAGGTGGGGGCAATAGAGGGCATGGATAGGGGTTGAGACCATGAGGGAATGGGATGATTGAGTTGGGTAGGGACAGAGTGGAAGAGCAATGAAAAAGATATCTTGATAGAGGGAGACATTATGGGGGTAAGGGAGAACCCTGGTGCTAGGGAAAATCCCAGGAACCCATAAGGATGACCCCAGACTAGACTACTAGCAATAGTGGAGAGGGTGCCTGAGCTGGCTTACTCTGGTAAGCAGATTGGTGAATACCCTAACTGTCATCATAGAGCCTTCATTCAGAAACTGATGGAAACAGATGCAGAGATCCACAGCCAAACACCAGGCCCAGCTCCAGGAGTCCAGTGGAAGAGAGGGAAGAGGGATTCTATGAGCAGGGGGGGTGGTGGTGGTGTCAAGATCATGATGGAGAAATATACAGAGACAGTAAACCAAGCTCATAGGAACTCACGAACTTTAGACTGACAACTGTGGAACCTGCATGGGACTGGACTAAGCCCTCTGCATACAGGAGACAGTTGTGTAGCTTGGTCTGTTTCAAGGGCCCCTGGCAGTGGGATCAGGGTCTATCCCTGGTGCATGAACTGGCTCTCTGGAGTCTACTACCTATGGTGGGATGCTTTGCTCACCCTTGATGCAGTGGGGAGGAGCTTGGTCCTGCCTCAACTAAATGTACTAGGCTTTGCTGACTCCCCATAGGAGGCCTTACCCCTTTGGAGGAGGGGATGGGGGGGTCTGGAGGGAAGACTGAGAGGGAGCAGGAGGAGGGATGAGAGGCGGATCTGTGGTTGGTATGTAAAATGAATTTTAAAAAATTTAACAAAAGAGAGAGAGGTGGTCACACAGCTGACTTCCTTCATGTTGGACCTCTTTGCTTAAGAAGACAGGCCAGTCAGTCATCCTTCCTGAGCAATGAGCACCTCATGGACTCATTGTTCATGCAACCAAAGTTACACTGAGAGTTACTGCCCTCGATATTTTCCTTCACACAAAAGAACACACACATGCACACATTTACTAACTTTTCTGATCTGGATTGGCCATGCTGGCCTATCTGCACTTGAGTTAACTATTTTCACTGCTCTGGAGAATGATATATCTGAGATAAAGACATCTTCTGAAGGCTCAATGGTCCTTTGGTTATGGGGAACTGAGATGTCCTTCTGGATTCTCAGTCTCTTTAATAAAAGAATTTTAAAAAAGATTCGAAGAAGCCCAAGCACAGCCAATTTTGAGAGAAAAACAACAGGATAGGCAAGCTGCAAATCCTGGCAGCTGCCAGGAGGAGAGGAGATGAAACCAAACAAAACTATGCTTTTTAAGTCAGGTGCAGAGTCACGAAAACATTGACAAAGGGTGTCTGGGAAGCATGCTTAGTTTTTAGGCCAGTATCCAAAACAGAGACAAGAAAAGGAGAAGGAAAAACCTGCTTAGTGCTGAGCTCCAGATCTGAGTTCAGGGGCACCCAATTCCAGGCTATGGTGTCCAAGGACAAACGACTGCATTGAGGAGATGTGATTAGAAATAGAAACAGATGGTGTATCATGAAAGGAAAAGCACCCAATGGGAGTGGGCTAGTGAACCAAGGAAAGAGCCTCACACACCAGATCAAGAGGCTTGCAGTCCTTTATTGAACACTTACATAATGCCTGTCCATCCCTTTCTTGTTTTGCAGGCTCTTTGTGAGCTGGCTCTATTCATTACATGAAGCCCAGGTGAGAAAAGACTTCCAGTCTTCTGCAACCTGGCTTATGTCATGTGATTCTTTAAAAAAAATTACTATAAAGTCTGCTGCAAGATCATGTCTCCTAGAAAGACAGGGAAACGACACCCATGATACCTCAGCAATATGTCTGCATAAAGGATCCAAACAACGATAACACCATAGATATGATAACATGGAAGGGGGAAATCTCACTGGTTCCCAGCTCTAGACAAAGAGCTATAGATCATCAGGCATTTAACAACTGATGAGAGAAGAATTAGTCTTCCTCAGGAATGAGCCCCCTAATTGGTTATCCAATATCAAATGGTCAGTGCTAAAATCCTATACATTCAAGTAACACTAAACATACTCAGTAAATTGTATTTATATATTTATCTGTTTATATATGTGGCAATAATAATTAAAGAAAAAGAAGCCATGAATTTGAGAGGACGCAGGATAAGAGGTGTGATGGGAGGGAAGAGAAGAAGGGGGAAAAGGTGTAATTATATTTTAATTTTAAAATTGAAATTAAAATACACAAATCATATGTTAATCTTGATGTTTCAACCTTCAGTCACCTGCCACACTATGACTGTTCTTAATACACCCATATATTCATTTAAGTACTTAACAGTTATTCACTCACATTGGCCTTTCAATATGGGCTTATTGTCCCCATAAGGAATCAAAGTCAATGACATTGTACTATCATATGTTAAGGTGATCTTAACTCTTGTTGCAAGTGATTGATAGATTTGTAGATCATTGACAAGGGACTTTCATCCTGAGATGACCAATACACCAAGACCCACAGTTACCACTTGGGGTTAAAGAGAACATTTAATGGAGAACATTTGTTTATTTGTTTGTTTAATTATTTGACAAAATCTCATGTCTCCTGACTTGGCCTTCACTTTGTTATATAGTGGAGGATGCAATCCCCCTGCCTCCACCTTCCAGGTGCTGAGATGACAAACATGTGCCACCAGGTCTGGTTGGTTTATGAGGTACCAGGGATCAAACCCAAGACTTACTGTGTGCTAGACAACTGAGCTATATCCCCCCGCCCCCGGCCTAGTTATAATGCACTTAATTTTTAGTTAGAGCTTAGAAAAGAGGACACCAATATGGAATGCTTCAATATGATGGACTTGGTGAAACATTATGTCTGCATTTGTCCTCCTAAAAAGAGAGGGGTGTGTGTGTGTGTGTGTGTGTGTGTGTGTGTGTGTGTGTGTGTGAGAGAGAGAGAGAGAGAGAGAGAGAGAGAGAGAGAGAGAGAGAGAGAGAGAGAGAGAATATGAAATAAATACATGGACTTAAAACTTTGACCAGAGTTTGCATTGTAATTACCTATTAGTTTCTTTAAAATATTGACCATATGATTTTAAGAAGAGCTCCTTTTGGGAGGTAATTTTTTTTAAACTTTCTGTCATTAGTGTATTCCCCTCATGTTTCTGTCATTTCTATAATTTATGCTAATTGTGTTACCACTTTAAAAATGTTTTAAAGGTGGCCTAGGTGGATGGACACACCTGAGTGCTGCCTGGGGCCCCTGCAGCCTGGGGTAGGCAGGCACCACTACAATAAATACTTGATGGAGAAGAGCAAAGACAGAAAAACTGAGTGGTGCCCTTGCTAGGGAGAGGTGGACCTGGAGACATGATGGTGGTGACAGGTGAGAGAGAAGGCTGAGGTCGACATGCTGTCATTGTCCGGTAGGGTTGGTGGGATGGTGTACAACAGCCGGGAACTTATGCAGACACAGACTCAGCCCTGAACCTGCCACCTGGCTGCGGGATTCCCCTGGCTCTGGGCAATGTTGGAGGCCGGAGATGGGAAAGTTTCACTTCCTGGATTGGACCTCCTCAAAGGACCACCATGGTCCTCAATACCACCAGAGGGCATGTTGGTGTCGGAGGTCCATGTTGCTGCCTGGACCGCCACGAAGCCTGAGATCCATGTGGATGTTTGCAGTCTGTGTCGCTGCCCCATGCCTTGGCTTTGCTGCCTTGGGGAGCCATGCTGATGTAAGTGGCATGTGTCGCCACCTAAGGCAGTGTTGAGGCTCATGGTCATCAGCCGCTGAGGGCCGTGAGTGGGACAGTGGTCCTGATATGGCCAAGAGCCGTGTTGATGTCTGTGGCCAGTGTTACCACCAAAGGCCATGCCTGTGGTTAGGGCTACTACCTGAAGCCATGCTAATGTGTGTGGCCGGCAGGAGAGCTGGTCCTGCCCCTCACAGCAGAGCTGGCCCCACCCTTCACCAGCCCTCAGCACTGTGGTGCAGGTGGTGGTGTGGGTGTAGGGGTGCAGGAAAGCTAAAACCCTTGGACACCAACCACACAGCTCTCCTCAGCTGATGGATAAAGACTCACCCTCCTTTGGCAGGCTGGGTACTAGGAATTTGATCATGCTCCACGCTCCAGTGAATATAGGACAACACAAAATGGACTTTTTTTTGAGGGGGGAGGCCACATGGGAAGTGAACACAATTGGGTTGCATGCTGTGAGATTCTCAAATAATCAATTAAACTGTTTCACACTTTTTTACTTAAGTACATTTATTTGTTAAGAAAAATAAATGTGGATATCTACCTGGGAATCCAGGAGTGGCTATGTGAGGGTGTTAGGGTAGGTACAGGCTTTGTGTGGGCTGTGAGGTGAGGAAGGGCTCAATAGGGGAGCCCCCAAGAAATGCTGTAACTTTAAGAATCTCTTAGTTTTACTGGAGTTGTGAGCAGCTAATTGCAGTACGTGATTCAAAACCTCACAGAGATCAGCTGGTGTTTCAGGATGCACTTGGCTACCATGAGCTATTGTTATTTAGTGTTTATCTAAGCACTTCCCCAAATAAACTTTTCACATGGAAATCCTGGAGCACCTACAGATGGTGCAAGTTTCAAAGTCTGACTAACAAGCCACTGGCTTGATCTCACTGTCCTCTGACCCTTCAATGTGAATGATTCAGTGAAAGGATATGCAATAAAGGAAAATCAGTTTGTCACACGTTTGCATGGTTAATCTTGGTTGCCAATTTGACACATCTGGGGGGAAAGAACTTCAATTGAAGAATTGTCTCCACCAATTCGGGCTTCAGGAACATCTGTGGGAGCATTTTCCTGATCGCTAATTGATGAAGAAGGGTTCAGTCCACTGTGGGTGGTCCTATCCCCAGGCAGTTGGGTCTGAGCTATATAATAAAGGTAGCCTGTGAGCAACCCAATAAGCAGAGGTCCTTTATGGTTTCTGCTTTAAGCTCTGGCCTTGAGTTTCCTCCATTGATGATGTCCTGTAGATGAAAGAGAGTTCTTATTGCCAAGTTGCTTTTGGTCATAGTGTCTATCACACAACAGAAAACAAACCAGAACACATGTTTCTTCTCCTGGGAAGATGTTTTGCCTCCTAAATCTGTTCTTGCTCTGTTTAGTAGTGGTTCTCAACCTGTGGATCACGAATGACCCTTTTACAGGGGTCACCTAAGACTATCTGCGTATCTGATGTATACACTGTGATTCATAACAGTAGCAAAATTACAGTTACGAAGTAGCAACGAAACTAACTATTTTTGGTGGTCACCATCACATGAAGAACTGTGTGAAGGAGCCCCAGCATCAGGAAGGTTGAGAACCTCCATATTAGTGCTTTCCTTGGTGGCTAACATTAGTGTAACCTTTCCTATATTGCAAACCTTATTATCAATGCCACAAATTATGAGTTGGCCCCTGGCACCTTCCCTTAACTTCTCTCTGGGTGTTCTGAATTCTTCAATCATTTTTATATGTGGCTAATGCTATTTATGATGGTCCAGATGCAAGCCTTCCACACTTTGTCTACTTTCTTGTGAATTTAAATCATAATTTGACAGTGGAGATGGAGTCAATACGCTAGCTTTTCACAGTATTTTATTTAAAGCAGATGTGAAAGTCCTTCCTCTGAACGCTGTTAGCTATCACTATGTGACTGCAGTCAGCACTCCACAATCAGTCCTCAGAGGCACATCATCTAGCACACCCTATACCCCCATCCGAAGCTGCCCAGAGCCCTCGAACAGGTGCACAGACACTCAAGAATCTCTCATCTAGTAATTAGCCTCCTCTGTGGATTTCTTCAGTTGCTTATTAGTTTTCCCGTGCATAAATTCTAGTCATCAATATGGCCACTCTTGATTGTTGTTTGCACCTATGTTTTTAATCAAACGTCAAGATAGGCGAACAGGGAGTGAGCTACGCACTGAAGTGGATATGATACAATGAGTTCCTCCTGCCATCTAGCGGTCAAACTCTTCATTGTCAAGGCAAAAATGATAGGCTAAAAGAACAGATGAAAATACAAAAGGGACAGACTGGTAAGAGAATCACCAAGAGTGGAGAGGAATGAGGGAGGGTAATGAGCGTGAATATTATTAAAATACTTTAGATGCCTATATTACAATGCACAATGAAACCCGTTATTGCGTATAATTAATATATATAAATCTTAAGGAAAGAAAAAGACAGACTGATGCACTATCCCACAAGAGTCTTGATTTGTATGTGGGATTGCGTTTGTCATCTTATAGATGTGACACTTCTTAGGAAGCCAGCAGCAACCACTAATGGAGACTGTACCTGTCTGGGTGTAATCTTGTTGGTTAATGAGTGAGAGCCTCCACTTAACAGAACACAGGCTCTGGGTCCCATCGGGCCAGCTTTTGATGGGAGCAAAACTAATGCATGGTGAGGAGTCTGGGTGGCGGTTGCACTTTGGTTGTTGGCTCAGGAGTTTACCGGAAGGGGTCATGTGGAAACATTCTAGGGGGTGGCATCAATGCTCCAGGTGCCACGAGAGAGGCTTGGGTTGTAGAGTGTGAGCACTGTTCAGAACTCTCCAGATGGTACACTTGAGTTATTTGTGTGGTGGGGTCCCAGCTCAGTCATCAAGCACTGCTGCACAAATAGGAGGACCTGAATTCTCTCACCAGAACCCACATAAGAAGACACTGGACACAGCGGTGTGAGCAAGCGGTCACAGTGCTGGGGGAGCAGAGACAGGTGGATCCTTTGTACTTGCTGATCAGTCGACTTAGCTTAATTGGTGAGGCCCAGTAAGAGACTTTGTCTCAAAAACCAAGGCGGACAGCTTCTGAGGAATGACCTCTGGCCTCCACCTGCACACACATGTGCACATGCACACATTCATTCATATGCATGCATGCACACACACACGGAACAAGAGCAAGAGAGTAAGAATGAGAGAGAGAAGGAGAGAGAGAGAGAGAGAGAGAGAGAGAGAGAGAGAGAGAGAGAATGTGTTTCATTACATGTGAGTTTTACTTCCAAAATAAAATGTCATGGAGAAAATTACTCATGTTTGAGCTTGTGAGGTGTACTTACAAATAACAGGTTCACCAGTGAATGGGCATAGTAGATACATGTATTGTTATAAATCCAGTGTAGTGAAAAAGAATTGCAGAAGTGAGATGGTATATGCATATAGGAAAATGTTTCCAATTTTTCTGCATGTTAGAGAATCTTACAGTATAATGTCAGAAAACAATTCTCAGTTGAATACTGGGTACCGTGAACTTGATCTTATTTTCATTAATTGCTATATTTAAAGATATGTCAGGAGGAGGTGCCTGTGAATTGACTCAGCTTGTAAAGACACTTGCTACCAAGCTTGAGTTCTATACCTAGAACTCACAGGGTGGAAAGAGATTTGACTCCTTTACCTCATACACACACACACACACACACACACACACACACACACACACACACTGTTAAAGATTAAAGCCATCAGGAACCATGATGGCTAAGGAAGTTGACCAACTGTGCAGGTGATGAACAATAGGGCTTCCATCCATGTCCATGTTGCTAGGTTCCATCACAACACTTGCTTTTCACTCATTAGGAAACATAACACATTCTAAACATCGTGGGGTAAATGTAACTTCTGTTGGGAAAGCAAATGTCTAAGCTCTGGCCCTGATCAAGGACGGCCTTTCCTATACAAAGAACAGATTATCACAGAACAAGGACCCAGCCTGTGAGAGTCTCCAGCACATCTCTTGATTTGCTTCATATCCACGGCCTCTACTTTCATTTTAGCATAACAAGCTATTTCTAGCACTTGGTTTTTATCTCTAATTAATTTTATATAGAGAGCTCTGTTATTTCCAAACATTAAGAATTTTAACATTAGAGTTTCAAAAAAGACATAGAGATGAGAAATATATTCTTCCTTTTTTTTCTTGTTCATTTTTTTTGGTGACAATATCTGATTCTGTAGCCCAGGCTGGCTCCTTGAGATCTTCCTGCCTCTGCCTCCCAGCTGTTTTTATTCTTACCTTTCCCATATACTTCTTTATGGACTGTCACACTAGGTCATCTTGAGTTTTGACATTTTGGAGGAGAATGATGACCCAGGAGGTGAATGGTACACACTTTTATCTGAGCTACAAAGTCATTGGCTGTGGACTTGTGCATATTGTGAAGTTTTGCTTAGTCTTAGTTCATGTATAAAGTGAAAGATGTCATCTCTGAGATCTGGTCCAGCCATGACTGACCTGTCATCCACATGATCTTGTCTTTATGGCCCTCACTGTCGGGATGCTACTGACTACTTGGTACTGGGCTAGTTCTGGCTTGCCCCCTGTTATTAATTGGGTGGGACTGGAAAGTCCTTTTGTTTCCTGGGTGATCTTGGTGGCATTCTAGGTCAGAACTTTTCTGAACTGCCCAGGCGTATTGTTATCCATTCTGTGGATGCCCATTTTCTTCTCATGTGATGCTCAAAGACACTCCCAGGTTCACTTTCACAAGGCAAAGGGGAGAATTTTCTCACGGAAATGTTTTTAACACTGGGTGGCGCTGCTGAACCACGGAAACTGAGCGAAGGAGGCCCAAGATGAAAAACATCACTCTTACGTTTTCAAAAATGTTTCATTTGGAAATACTTAATCACTTGTTCAACAGAAATAGCCCTTCCTAAGCCATGGGATAGGAAGTCCCATCATGAAATGAAGCTCCAGCGCTTGTATGCTCCCGACTCTGAGGTCTGTGCATCTTCACAGGAGGCTGCTAAGGAGACAGAAGGTTGAAAACCAGTAGTGTTGTCCTGGAGGTGCTTTGGAAAGAGTAAACACTGAGAGGACAGTGATTATTTTCTGGTCATCAGATCCAGCCTTACTTATTGTCGGGGCTAAGAACCACTAACGGCTCTAAATGGTAGCCACTAACAATCGTTAAGAGCAAATCCCTTATATTCTTTATTTTTTTTCTGACTCACAGTGAGGCACTAGGTCCCACTCTAGACATTCTGTGTGTGTGTGTGTGTGTGTGTGTGTGTGTGTGTACACATAGGTGTGTGAGTGCATGTGTGGTGTGTGTGTGTGTGTGTGTGTATGTGTGTGTGTCACACATCTGGGGTTGAATTAATTCAAAAGAAATGAGAAAGGGGATTGGAAATAGCAGGAGGCACTGATGTTTTGGAAAATGGCAGTTCCTTGAGAGAATCCACTTAAATGAAGATCAAAAAGTATACAAATGCAAATGAATATTAAGATTCATACACTTTATATTTTACTAAAATGACATATGAAAAGATGTCCATATGCATTCAAAATAAAAGACTATTTTATTCATCCAGCATTATTCCCCAAAACCTTCTAATCACAAGCCAGCACATTTGCTGTCTGGGCATGGATGTGGACAGTATTAACAGAGGCACAAAAAGAAGTCATGACCTGAAAAAAATGACTCGTCAAGTTCATTTGGAAAATATGCTTTCAGGTTAAAACCTTTCACTGCATAAAGGGAGATGCTGAGGATTATGCAGAGACTAGAGGAAAGAAAATCCTGTGTTATTATTTTCATTTTAATATTTTCAGATAAGGAATGAAAGACTGTAAATCAATAAATCTGTAATGAAACCATGAATGCAGGCTAGAGGCATCTATTCTTTTGCACAGCATCCATTCATAAAGGCCCAAAGGAGGAATTCTCCCAGGTCTAAATGTCAGCATCAGTCATGTTCCTTGTCTTGCAGACCCTGGAATCTTATAATGGATTGTTTCTATCCTTGTACCAAAGGAGAAACAGCAGTTACGTGTTGGAAGATGAGAGCCATGTATCTGTGGACAACTGTCAAAGTAAAGCAAGTAGCTCCCTGGATGTTCCATTGTTTCTTTCTGACTGGGCAAACCCGACCTTCCCGTGTTTGTTTACTTGTGAAAGGATCTTTCTTTTTTTTTTTTTTTTTTTGGTTTTTCGAGACAGGGTTTCTCTGTGTAGCTTTGCGCCTTTCCTGGAACTCACTTGGTAGTCCAGGCTGGCCTCGAACTCACAGAGATCCACCTGGCTCTGCCTCCCGAGTGCTGGGATTAAAGGCGTGCGCCACCACCGCCCGGCTGAAAGGATCTTTCTGTATGACTCAGGCTGCATGGGCTCTTGATCATCTGGACTCAGTGTTGGGATTACAGGTGTGGACTACCAACTTAAACATTTCACCCAGTTTTAACATGTCTTTATTTTATTTACTGGAGAAATTGTTACAAACAGTGCTCATGAATTCCTGTATATGTCTTTTTATTTATGTATCTATGATACATATAAATAGAAACATGAACATAAAAGAGATGAGATAGATGCAGATGGAGCTATAGACTTCGTCATAATATAACTTGGAAATGCCCATACTTAGGTCTCGGGTCAAGCAAAGTACAGCTTTTTAGAAGTGGGTATGTGCCCTTTGCACATGGCCCTGGCAAGCAAGCAGAACATAATAGAAGACTGTTGTGTCTGTCTGCTGGGTAGTCACTGTGCAGGAGGCCACTGTGAAGAAATGTAGCCAGCACCTGGCAAGTGCCTGCACTCCCCCTTCCCAGTCAATCAGTTGTGTGCTTCTGCAGGACTCGGACCTGTCTGTAGAAAGCCTGTGGCCAGTTATGAAGGCGCTGCCATGTTGCACGTCTCAACAGACCTTCCCCGGCTCAGGGAGGTTTTGTAAGCTGAACAGGACCAGCCAGCTATTCCACAGTGGCAAATGTTCTGGCCTGAGACAGTCAGACATTAGGCTCTTTGCTCTGCACTGTGTCAGGTGCTGCTGAGAACAAAGCAAGGGGCAGAATGGATGTAGAAAAGAGGACAGGCATCCAAAGAAGCCCGGAATGCTGGAATAAGAATAGAACAAAAGATAGAGAACTCAGGCTGAAAAGACTCAAAATGTCTCAAGTGATAATTATGCAATTACAGTGGCAAAACACTTGTTAAATCAGGATTGCACATTAAGGGAAATCAGAAGGGTTTCATAAGCCCATTGCATGAGACATTAATCATAAAACAATCTACAATAAATACAAAGGGTAACACAGTAGGAATCAGTAGACCACACTAAGAATATGAGACAATACTGTGACTCTGTGTCTATATATAGTCATTCCTTGGAGGTCTAGTAACCCCTAGTTAAATCTAAACTGAAAATTATATATGATTATTGAAAATGCTAACTCCAGCTAATGCATGTCTGTAATCCTAGCACTCCGGAGGTAGAGGCAGGAGGATCACAAGTTCAAAGCCAGTCTGGGCTACAGAGCAAGTCCCTGTCAAAACCCCCAAACACACAGAAGACATTAATGTGGGAGGTCTGAATTGCACTGTTGTATCCCTGAAATGCAGGAAGTACCCAAGAGTCAGCGCATGAACTACTGAGTGAATAAAGCTGGTACTTACGATCAGCAACACCATGCAGCGGCACTGGGAGAAATGCTGTGTGAGGCTCCATTCAGGTGAGGCCTGTGTGGGGGCCACTGCTCCTGAGGGTGATATGTGCCATCTGCCCTGGGCCTGGTTCTGAGGGTTCCCCTCTAGTTAGAGAAGCTGTGGACTCCAAAGAGTCACTATCTATTGAAAGGAATCATGAGCTCAGTTTGGAGGAATAGGAATGAGCAGTACTTATAAGATCCTCTGTCTTCTGGAGCAGTAGAGTATGATTGGGTGTGTGTGTAGGGGAAACAGAGAGACAGATAGACAGATACACACACACACACACACAGACAGAGGGACAGAGAGAAACACACAGAGAGGATGTAAGCATGCTATTGAGAATATGTACCAGCTTACGCATATTTGGCAGGAAGGCAACAGTGAAGTAAAGCGACAGCGAGAAAGTGAAGCAAACAGGGGTACCAGGCTGTGCCAGGCGTAAGAGGCGGCCAGGCCTACACTTGTTAAGACTGGAATCCGAAATGGTCAGTGATGGGTAAGAATAATTCTCAGTGACTTGGAGACACTAATGTGCTTTGTAGATACAGTTGCGATTGGATACGTGGTATAAACCAATCCCACTTAACACCCCACTTGTAACGACAGGTTTAAAGCAGCACTGGAAATATACATATGCTCTGAGGCATGCCAATTGACGATGGCACATCTGATCTCATTCCACCACCTACTTTTATTAAGCTGGTCCTGCCCGAGTACTCTTTGAGTGTCTAGTTTTTTTTTTGTGTGTGTGTGTGTGAACTGAGTCAACATAGAATCACCTTCCCAGAGCCACAGAGAGAATGGCACCAGTTGCCTCCTGGGAAAATCTCAGTGGGTTCCCAGCTCCTGGTGGAATTTGGCAAGTGAATGTCCTGCATCTGTGAAAAGGGATACAAAGTAGATTTGAGAATATGTTACTGATTCCCAAAGAGAGAGAGGATGATTTTCTTATTAGAGTAGAGATTCTCTAGTTATCAGGACATTTGGAAAGCCTCAACCACATAGCAGATGAACGTGGTACTCTAACCTTTTAATCCTAGCACTGAGGAGGCTGAGGCAGGATGAGTGTGAGTTCAAAGCCAGCTTGGGCTACATAGTTGGGCCATGTCACAGAACAAATCAGATGAAACTAGACAACAGCTGGAGAGACTCCTAAGGAAGATGAATATTAGAATCAGAGATGGAGGGAGGGAGGGGGAGGGAGGGAGGGAGGGAGGGAGAGGGAGGGAGGGAGGGAGGGAGAGAGAGAGAGAGAGAGAGAGAGAGAGAGAGAGAGAGAGAGAGAGAGAGCGAGCAAGCAGACCAGGATGGCATGTTAGAAGCTACCATAGAATCATTGTCCTTGGTTCTGACCCTCAGAGCAGACCAGCATTTCTGAATCAGGAAGCCTGGGCAGAACCCAAGGCTTCGAGTTTTCAGATAATGTGATGTTGATATTAGGGTTGGGTACCTACAAGTTGAAATCCCTCTCACAGAGGGAGGGCTCTGCGCATGTTTTTGTCCTGCAGCATCACTTAAAGGGGATTGAGTATGAGGCTGTCTGCTAAGAAGAGATTGGGCCATGTAAGAATCCATTTCCCCATGGCTTTCCCAAGACCTCTACCTGGAAGACCAGAAATGTACCTTCCCAGAATAGCTTTAGCCAGGCCTGGTCCATGGCAAGGCAGCCATTCTCTCTGGAGCGGAGGGTCTGCCATCTAGGATGAAAACCCTCTTGTAGGGCTGTAGGCAAACAGGAGAAGGACCAGCAGGAGCTGCCTAACTGCAGAGCTGGCTCACCTCAGCATCCTCTGCTGCTTTGTACTCTAGACTCACAGCCAGGCCAGAGAGGATGGCACTTGTATTCACAGCTGTGGGACAGAATGGAGGTGTGTGGAGGATGGAATTGCTAACATTGGCATAGCAGCTGGCTGCATTAGTAATATATCAAATTGGGACCACAGATCTGAGTAGCAGAGGCAATTCCACAGCATCTTATCTCTGGGCTGGAGGGTCATGCTGCTAAAACTGCTGGGAATTGCAGAGCACAGCATCACAGGAGAACACAGGTGGTGAGGACCGGTAATCAGGAAAGCACCTCCCTTGGGAGGGCCAAGGACTTCCATGTATCAAGCCTATGGTGCCCCTGACCTGGGGATGAGGGTGACTCACATACAATGTTATCTCATTACATTTTCACAGCAGTCCCTGCAACGTGTTAATAGCTTCACTTTACTGATGGGCAAATAGGCTGAGAAAGCTAATCTAACTTTCCCCGCTACCACAGGGCAGCAGATGGGAGTCTCTTCCTAAGCGTTTTGAGAACTGGAACATTCATGAGGACAATTTAGCACTGAAAGTTGTAACAGCCTTTTGCCCCTGACTCTCTCGACCTGGTGGCAGAATAGATTATAATTGTTTCAGGAATGGAGAATGCACTGGCTAGTACCTGGCACTTTTTTTTTTCTTTTTTGGCATTCGAGTAATATTTGTTTCTAGAACAATGCATGAATGGGCATACACACACACACACACACACACACACACACACACACACACACACACACACGGGGAACTGTACAAACACATTTCAGGTAGGTGTCAAAGTCCCCAAGGCTTTTTAGTGGATCAGCCTGTAGTTTGGGTCCTGCAGGAGAATTGCTTATTTCAAAGGCTAGATCTGCAGTGATCAGAGTATTTGAGGGACTGGGGAGGGGGCAATAATTGAATTAGGATTTTCAAAAATGGCATGTTTCCATCATGGTTGGTGAAAATAAAGACAACCAGTTGGGTAGATGCTACCTAGGCAGTAGCCCAGAAATGCTGCTTACTCATCTGTGGCTCAGAGGCAGAGTTTAGCAACAGACAAAAAATGTAATCAAAATAAAACAGGTGCTTTCCCACACAGAGAGTATGAGAATTCGAGGAAAGTAAATTTAGTCTCCCTGTAAGTCCTTAAAATACACACCACACCCATATGAATGTGTCATTAGCAGGCTGAGGGTTTCATACAGAGTAAACATTTGCTATGACTGTCGTTGGGCAACAGCCAACGTGAAGAACCTGAATCCTGAAGGGCGGAGTTTCTCACTGCACAGCCTTTCTCTCTCTGCCACAAACCTCTGCCTTCCTCTGCTCCTCGTTTTACTTGTAATGCTGCTGCTCAGGGCAGAGAGAGATCACAAGTGGAAGAAGAGGAGGCAAAGACGAAGGCATACTGCCCTCAGAGTCCCCCGACACTTGGTAAGGTTAGAGCATTGCACAGGACCCCGGGTTTCAAAAGGCGTTGGAGCAAGCTTACCTACTGAGTGAGGATGGTATCCATCATAGTACAGTCGAAGGGTTGTGGTTTGGGTTTAGGAAGGCTGGACACCTCTCCTGTGGCCCACCAAAGCCACAATTTCTGTAGGTTACATATGATTTCTAATTTGTAAGGTTCACTGTGAAATGAAAATGCTGGGCCTCCTGCTGACGGGGACAAGAAAACTGTTAGAGCTGTAACAGCCGCAAAAAATAGCTCCTGGTTCTTGGCACGCAGCTTCGAAGACCCCTGAGATTCCCCGAGGAGGCAGAGTTGAGAGGAACATCTTTCCTTATGTGTAACAAACCCCTCTTGCCCCTACCAGGGTTGATGCTAGTGGGAAAATCTTGGGTCCTGGGAGCTGGTTGCCCTGAGCTCTTCTGTCATAGCGTGTGTAATTGATCTTGGCTTTCCACACATGAATGAGTACCTGAGATAAGTGAAAAAGAGAGAGTTTACTTTGGGCTATCGACACAGAGGTTTCGGTCTTTGCTTAGTCGGGCTCATTGCTCCTGGTCCTGTCGCATGCCATGGTGTGCAGCACATTGTGGAACAAAGACACTTGCCTCACAAAAGCCAAGAAGCAGAGAGAAAGCAGAGGTTGGCCTAGGTCACACTTCCTCTACTAGGCCTCACTTGCGATGGGGTCAGTCACCTGCCAATAGTGCCAGCACTTAGTGATCGAGTTTCAACACATGGGCCTTTGAGGGACACTTCCAAAGCATAGCAGACAACTCCAGGAGGGCTTAACCTAAGTGGTGGTGCACTAGAAACCTCCGCGAGCACCTGAAAAACACCCTCCCTGACTCTGCCCCATAATCTCCTCTGTGTGTTTGCTTTGGAGCTGTGCCCTTTATCATAAACCGGTGATAGTAAGTGTCATAATTAGCTTCAGCTGTCAAGTTGGCACAACCCTACAGTCACCTGGGAAGAGGAACCTCGACTGAAAAACTGCCTCCATCAGATTGGCCTGTGGCCATGTCTGTGAGGCATTTTCTTAATTGCTAATTGATGCAGAAGGGCCCAGCCCATTGTAAACAGTGCCATCCCTAGGCAGGCGGGCCTGAGCTGTGTAAGAAAGCAAGCAGGAAAAGCTAGGGGAAGGAAGTCAGCAAGCTGTGGTCCTCCATGGCTTCTGCTTCGAGTTCTTTTTTTTTTTTTTCAGGTTGCTGCCTTGAGTTCTTGCCCTGGCTTCCCTCAGTCGTAAGTCAAAAGGGAAGTCCACCTTGTTGTGTTGGGGACCTGAAACAGGGGCAGTCTGGCAAGTCTGGCCTTCCCCTGTAGGGTTGGCACCAAGGCTCCAACTCTGCCAGAGCTGGATTAAATTGTAAGACAGCAAATTGATGTCTGTAGAAAAACTGGAGAATTGCCATGAACAAAACTGGGTGACATGGCCCATGCCTGTAATAACAACACTTGGGTGGTAAAGGCAGGTCGATCGGAAATTCTAGGTAATCATCAGCTACATAGGGAGTTGAAGGCTAGCCTAGGCTAACAAGGAAAACCATCTTGAATAGCTTCTTACCTAATGGGTCTCCCTAGCTTGCATATATAACAGAAAGTATTTCTCTCCCCTCTTAAAGGTACAAAAATGCAGAGTTTTCTCTTTTTGTCCACATGACTTTTCTGCTTATGTGCATATTCAGTTTTCCCAGCAGACTTCACTTAGAGGAAAGATAGGCTCAAGAGAGAATTAAGAAATTGAAGACAGAGCATGGGCCTGTGAAACTGGCCCACTAGTGGATGAAGGAGGCAGCAGTGGCCGTGGGTGGAGTCATCGGGTGGCTGATCAAGCCCAATGGAAGAGGTTTGTTCACTTAAGTCTAAGTTGAAAGAGTGAGTTAGTTTATGGCCCTGTCACTTGCTTGGCCACTCTTCTCATTGCTGGCTCTAGACCCTTGTGTTTCTGGTTTGCATGCCTTATCTTTGGCACTTCTGTCACTGAGGTGACAAGAGGGTAAGAGGAGGTCATCTGAAGCTTGCTGCAACCAGCTGAACAGGAGTCTGATGGTACCATGCTGAAAGAGGTCATCCTAAAACCACAGGCTTAAAAGACGCCACGCTGATGAGAATGTCAGGGCCTCCTTAGAGTGCTTCATCCACGCCCCATATTAAGGAGTGGAACCGCGTTAGGACCAGTGGATTAAGGCATTAAGGTCACAGGAGACAAAGCAGTCACCTACCCTGTGGAGTTCCAACAGGGACTCTCCAGTTCTGTCACTGTTCAAGGGTTATCCACCCAGCAGACATCCCGTAGGGAGAAGCCAATAGCTTGTTTTCCCAGCCTGGAAACAAAAGCGCCAACCACAGTGGGAATCAAGGACTTGATGTTATGCAAAAGTTATGCATACTGATGGCCTGTAGGTTTGACCTGCATTTGGGTTGGGTTTGGCCCAGGATGACCTGAAAATGAATTAAAAAATGGTATTAGCACTAAAAAATTTGGACACCCCTTATAGACAACTTTATTTACTCTTTCTCCTGAAAATTCAGCAGAACTAATCACCCTGATCTGAAGGCCCAGGCACTTGTATCCTGAGGAGCTTGGGACTCAGACAGGAACATGCATAAACTCAGGACTCTCCAGCACAGGTAAGCAGTGAGGAGCTTGGGACTTAGGAACTCAGGACTTGCCAGCACAGGTAGGCAGTGAGGAGCTTGGGACTTAGGAACTCAGGACTTTCCAGCACAGGTAGGCAGTGAGGAGCTTGGGACTTAGGAACTCAGGACTTTCCAGTACAGGTAGGCAGTGAGGAGCTTGGGACTTAGGAACTCAGGACTTGCCAGCACAGGTAGGAGTGAGGAGCTTGGGACTTAGGAACTCAGGACTTTCCAGCACAGGTAGGCAATGAGGAGCTTGGGACTTAGACAGGAACTCAGGACTCCCCAGCACAGGTAGGACCTGCCTTAGTATCGCAGCCGACTCCTGGCTTGAAGCTCTTCCCTTGCCTGTCTTTACTAGGACTGTGTTCCTACAGCCCAGGGCCCTGTCTCCCAGCTTCCTGCCAAATAAGATGTCAATGAGAATAATTGCTTTTTAAATTGGGCACCTAATTCTTTCAAACATATCACAATCAATTTTTTTTCTCTATGGCAGTGGAATATCATTTCAAGGAAATTCTTAAATGTGTGTGAGAACCGTGATTGATAAGGAAATAAAATTACCTTATAAATACAAATAATTACTCCAGCAGAAAGAAAACAGAAATATGTTGTGAAGGGCCGGCAAGTGATTGGTTCCAGACTAAAGAGCTATTTTATTTTATTGTTTGGATTCCTGCTAGAGCAGGCAATTATGTGCACTAGGAGTGGGAGGGTCTGTGTGACCTTGAACAATACTGACACCCTTCTGCCTCATGTCTTTACCACCTGCAAAGCAGACTTTGAAGCGCCCACTCCTGCTTTATTACATCAGTAAATTAGACCTTGTGTGCAAGCGCTAGCTATGAGTTCTTCTGCAGACATAGGGCATACATAGCTGATCTTGATATTGTGAATTGGAACACGGACTAAAGTGTTATTTATTCTGAAAACCTGAGGTTATTATTTCCTTGGCAGCTGAATGACCCCTTTAAGCAAGTGCATATTTTCTTATGAGGCTGGGAAAGAATAGAATGAGCCGCTTTCACTTGGCACAAACGCATAGTTTTAAATGTTTGTAATGCCTGGCAAGCATTCTGCCCTGATCACTTTGAATCGTGCTAGTCATAGTCATAATGTAATAAGGCCTTGTTTTTTTTCTTCTATTGCGTTCTTCCAAAAGAATGCAGAATAGATGGGGGTTATTAAAAAGGAGGATTAGATTGTCCTTTGCTACGTCAAATACATGCTGTTCTTATTTTTTTCTTTCTGTTTTCTCTACTGCCAGCCATTTGAAATATACCCACACAAAGTTTATATTCATTTCCACAGAATCCTATATTTTGGTCCGAAGGCAATTTTTTTTTCTTTAAAGGAAAATGCTTGCAAATCATAGAGACCTCATTCTGCCTCTTATAAGTTGATCAGTGGTCCCAGGCCCACCCTCAGGAGGAGGCCTACCCCCTATTCCACACTCTGGAGATTGTTTTATGCCTGTGGGAGAGTTTTCAAGAGACATAGAACCAATAGGATATAATCTGTGTATATTTTGGATTTATTGGGGAATTGCATGTGTTATCTTGGGGAAGGGGAAGTCCTGCAATAGGCTATCTGTAGTTGGAGGACCTGGGATCCTAACGATGTGTCCTAATCAGAACTGATGGTCTCAGAACTGAGAGATCTCATAGTATAACTCTGTCCAAGGCCTAAGGCATGAGAACCAAGGGGCTGCCAGCATGAGTCCTGGAGTTCCACAGTCAGGAAGCTTGGAGTTCTGATATGCAAGAGCCCCAGCAAAAGAGAGAAGAAATGACTTTCTTTTTTTTAATTAAAAAATATTTTATTCATTTTACATACCAATCACAGATCCCCCTCTTCCCCTATCCTGCCCCTTCAGCCTCCCCCTCCCAACCCATTCCCCCATTCCCTCCTACAAGAAGGTAAGTAAGACTTTCCATGAGGAGTCAGCAGAGCCTGGTACATTCAGTAGAGGCAGGTCCAAGCCCCTCCCACTGACTCAAGGCTGCACGAGGTGTTCCACCATAGGTAGTGGGTTCCAAAAAGCCCATTCATCACCAGGGATGGATCCTGATCGTACTGCGTGGGGGCCCCTTAAGCAGATCAAGCTATAAAACTGTCTCCCTTATGCAGAGGGCCTAGTCCAGTCCCATGGAGGCTCCACAGGTGTTGATCTAAATTTCATGAGTTCCCACTAGTTTGGTTTGGTTGTCTCTATATGTTTCCCCATCATGATCTTGATGCCCCTTGCTCATAGAATCCCTCTTCCTTCTCCTTGACTGGACTCCTGGAGCTTGGCCTGATGTTTGGTTGTGGATCTCTGCATCTGCTTTCATCAGTTGCTGGAGAAAGGCTCTATGATGACAGTTAGGGTATTCACCAATCTGATTACTGGGGTAAGTCAGCTCAGGCACCCTCTCCACTACTATTGCTAGTAGTCTAAACTGGGGTCATCCTTGGGGATTCCTGGGAACTTCCCTAGCACCTGGTTTCTCCCTATCCCCGTGATGTCTCCCTCAATCACGGTATCTCTTTCATTGCTCTCCCACTCCATCCCTGTTCCAGCTTGACCATCCCATTCCCTTGTGTTCTCATCCTCCATCCCCTACCCTCCATTGCCCACCCCTCATGCCCGGTTTACTCTAGGAGGTCTCATCTATTTGCCCTTCCCAGGGGGATCCATGCATTCCTCTTTGGGTCTCCTTCTTAGCTAGTTTCTCTGGAGCTGTGGGTTGTAGTCTGGTTATCCTTTGCTTTACATCTATTACGCACTCATGAGTGAGTACATACTATGTTTGTCCTTCTGAGTCTGGGTTATCTCACTCAGGACGATATTTTCTAGTTCCATCCATTTGCCTGCAAAATCCATGATGAGAAATGGCTTTCTTAAGGCAAAGACTTAGACTTAAACTCATGGGTCTTGGGAGGGCGTTTCAAGTCTCAGACAGAGTAGTGAGGAGGTAGACAGGTGGCTCAGCAGTTTCCAGCCTGTATTACTCTTACAGAGAACCTGAATTCAGTTCCCAGCACCCATACTGGGAGGCTCACAGCCATTTGTACCTCCAGCTCCAGGGGATCTGATGCCCCCCCCCCCTTTTTTTTGGCTTCTTCAGGTACCGACATGCCCATGGTACACATAAACTCCCACAGGTACACACACTTGTGCATGTATGAATGTGTGTGCACATGCACACACATGTGATAAATAATATAATACATTTAATAAAAAACGATAGGTACTAGAGAAATGGCCACCTGTAACTCCAGTTTCAGAGAACCCAACACCCTCTCACCTCTGTGGGCAACTGCATGCATGTGGTTCATGTAACTTTACACAGGCATTCAACTACACATGCATAATACATAACAAAGTAGATTTTTTTTTTTTAAAAAAAAAAAAAAACCAATAACAGTGGAGAAAGGTATTTCTTTTTCCCTGCAAGCCTTTCCCATTAAGCCTTTTTATGCCTGAGTTCTGCTTTCCTCAAGTGGACAGTAGCATGTCAAGTAAATCATGGCAGCCTCAATACACCCACTCATTGTTTCCATCAGTGAGTTCTCACGTCAGTATCTGTATGATTTCCCTCCATCTGACCACTTCTCATCTTCCCCTCAGGACTCATTTCATATCAGACATCTGAGTCACCTTATTAGGGCATTTATCCATTCCAAGCATATGCACAGCTTTTCAAAAATATAGCATGAGACTCTTTGTTCCAGGGCTCAGCCAAGTAGTCCCTTTACCTCTGAGTAAAATCGAGGCAGGGAGCAGAGCACTGAGGTTTCCTTTATATTTATTATTAGTATTTTGTTTCTATGAATGTTTGCCTGTATGTATGCATGTGGACTATGTGTTTGCCTGGTGCCTGTAGATGTCAGAAGAGAGCATCAGATTCTGGAATTGGAATTATAGATGGTTGTGAGCCCCATGGGGGTGCTGGGAACTGAAGTCAGATCCTCCACAAGAGCACTCTTAACTACTGAGCTATCTCTTCTGTTCCCTGGGTTTTTTTTTTTTTATAGCAAAAGTTAAGGAATAAGATGTGATTCCATAGGAAGTGGAAAGAATGTTTAGTCAGGAAAAAATAGTTGAAGATTGTAGTAAAGAATGCTTTGGTCTATCAGGTAATCCATTGGTCTTTCAAGTCTTTGTGTCTATGGTGGTAGATTCAGTGGACAAGAGACCATGAGTAAGGGCTGGAGAGACAGCTCAGTGGTTAAAAGCAAGTACTGTTCTTGCAGAGGACCCAAAGTGATCTCAGAACTTACATTGGGTTGCTCACAACTACCTGTAAGTCCAGACCTAGGGGGATCCAATGCTTCTAGCCTTTGTGTGCACTCACACTCATGTTCACCCCCCCTTCCAGAGAGAGAAAGAGAGGAGAGAGAGAGAGAGAGAGAGAGAGAGAGAGAGAGAGAGAGAGAGAGAGAGAGAGAGAGAAAATTAAAAATAATAAAAATAAATCCAAAAGGAGACTGTGAATCAAGACAACTCAGGTGAGCAGCAACTGGCATGGAAAGTCATTGAAGGCATAAACTGTGGTCTGGGCTTGGTCAGATTTCTATTACTGTATCTAAACCCTCAAGATAATCCCAAGCTTCTTTCTTTCTTTTTGAGATGCCAGCCTATTTTTGAATTGCTCATAGCTTTTGAGACAGTGTTGCAGTCAGACATTATGACATGAATGAGTATTGGAAGGGTTTGTTCATCTCGTAGCAGTCACAGACAAAGGGAGAAGAAGTGACAGGATCCCAATTTGCCCATGAATCTGTACTCTAGCATGTATGTCATGGGTTCCCTATCT